GATCAATTGATTCATCGTCCCTTGGCCTTCTCTTTTCAAATCTCATCATCGCTTGGTGACCCTTCATGCCTGACCCGAATCGATTCAACAATATCTCGAAGATTTTGTCCGCAGTGTCGCGTTCCTCTTTCTTTTTGGCAACTACACATTTCAACGCCGTGCATTTTTTAAGCAAAATTTGACGGTGAAAAATTAAATTGACTAAAATTTTATAAGGCAATTATCTACTAAACAAAAGAAAAGCTCTCGTTTAAATAGATGGCGGTTTTTAAAATAACTTGAAATCTTTTGATGCTATTAATTGAACTTCAGTGATATTGGACTAAAAACGCCTCTTTTTAAAATTCAGCTTCATTTTGAAAAAGCAAGCACAAAAAGTCAAAAAGTCTTTAATTCAGATTTAAACTTAAATCTGACAGACGCCATTTTGGCAAATGAAAGAACTAATTTTCTTAGCATACCCATTTCAAAGAAGCAAAAACAATTATGCATCTTTTTTTTTAGGTCAATCAAATGGATTTTTCATGCTCTTACAAAACACTTCAGTAACTCCATTTGAGGAAAAACTTCGGCGTCGATCTAATTCATTTAAAAAAGTTGTCAAAAACTCTTTCTTACAAAACTTTTTTAATTTGACCAAAAAAAACGCATTTTTTGGCAACCCTCTTGCAAAAAACTGGTACTTTTTTTGCCGAAGGCGCATTTAGAAAGCAGTACCGTAAGTGGCCTCAGTTCGCCTCCTAAATCAACTGACCGTTGAAACGTCAATCAAAACAATACTTTTTTATCAAGCAGTTGAAACACGCCATGTTAAAGCAGTTGACGAGATCGAATATATTTTGTCTACAAGAGACAACACCAAAAAGGACTGCACGACCAGAAATTTTGTAAAAAGCAAAAAATAAATTTTCAGTTGACCAAATACAGCATAAATCGAGAAATAATTGTATCTTCATACACTCACAATGTTTACCCAACCTGTGTAAACTAATTTAATTAATGAAAACAAAATTGCCACAACAAATGTGAAAACCAGTTTCAGAAATATTTGAAACTGTGCAAGTTAGTTAAATGGGGATATAGATGGATTTTCAAAAAAAAACTTCATTGACTGACTTGATTTAGGCCGACCAAATATTTTTTCAAATTCCCACGGATTTGTGAAAAAGACTTTGTTTTCCAAAAACCTTCGCTGGTAATTTAGTACTTTTTATAACAAAGTCTGAAGCAATATATCAACATTTTTTTCTTTCGAAATATAGCTTAATCCGCTTTTCAATGATTGTCAACATTTTTTGATATTTCGTGTGCCGGACAAAAACGTCTTCACTTTTATATAACAATTATATTTCAAAAGGCATGCTATTTCGGACCTACTTATCAATTCACTCATTTTCTGCTTTTATGTCTGACATTTCAAAGCATTAGAGACGCATACTGCAAAACAGTTGACAAAAATGCATAAAAATAAGATTGAACGCTTGTTAGAGCGTTTGATTGAGCAGTTGGTACAACACCAACTTTTCATATATTTTATTGCGTTGGGCGCCTTGTTAATACCTTTATCTTAGTTGACTAACTTTGATGTTTTAACCATTTTTCATTAAATTTTTCATAACGTATATTCGCATTGTATAATTTTCACCGTTTTAAATAACAATTTAATTTCAATTTGATTGGTTTTTGTTGGGTTTTTTCATCCGTAGAATAATTTTAAATTTGGAGATTACAACACGAAGGTCTAGGATTGCATGGCATTGTTGTGAAATTATGAATCAATAATAAATTCTTTTCAAAGTCATTATTTTGGGAGAAAATGACTTGTTATGTCCTTATTTACACAAACTCGAACTTTTGGCAGCAGAAATTGAGAAAAAACAAAGGAAAGTAGCCGATTCAAGCTTTGAAACAAACTCTTTGAGTTTTTGTTTTTTTTGGGATTCTACATCTATACAATGGGAAAAAAATCCGTTAAAATTAACTGGTAGCTTATTTAGCAAGTAGTACAGAATTTTGAACACCATTGATCACAGCGAATAAATTCAAAACAACTTAGAAATTTTTTTACCGTCAGCATTCTTCTTTATCGCGGGAAAAGCTTGAAAAAGCATAAGAAAAAATTGAAAGCTCAAATTACTATATAGTTGTTTGGCAGAATTTGAATAGGAGATCAGCTTGATCACCTGAATCTTTTTGTTCGAGAGTATTTTTCTGGGACTCAAACCGGACTGAAAGTACGTCCAATGACCTTTTATCGATCCTGTGTGCTAGCAATTTGTATATTATCGGAACTTCAGAAAGAAAAACATTTTAGGCTGTAGTTTGTTCCAAGTTTTCCCGCGAAGTAATTGAACTGAACCACTAAACTAAGTTTTTATATAAGCATATTCGTTTTTATTATCATTATAAGATTTACGGGAATTGTATTGAAAGAATCTAACTTTTTTAAGTTTTTCAATTGTTAACAGGTTCTAATCGTGCAAGTTGAAGAAAAAAGCCAGTGCAAAATTCGTAGTCAGGTAGTTGAATTAATTATTCTAAGCAAAGAGGAAAAGCGGAGCTTCGCACCACTTGCGATACATCACAATCATAAAAAAATGAAAAAAAATGAAAAAAAAACTAGGTGAATCAAAACTTTAATATAACTCGTTGAAGGTAACCTGGGGCGCAGCTAAAACTGGATATACATGTGTGATATTTTTGGAAATTGTTCTACTGATACGGTACGAAATGGGTCATTTCGAAAATTGGATTCTGCCCAAAACCTTAGTTGTTTCTCTACTAATTAAAAAGAAAAAAGTAAAAATTTGAGATTTGGAAGTTTCCACGTACATAACATTTCTCTTACAAAAAAAGGTATCCACTTCTGCAGGAAAAACTTTTGCAACAGCTTTTTTCGATTGAATTTTTCATCTCAGATTTGATAGGGTAGTTTTTCAGAAAAAACAAAAAGTTTCTAAAAACAGGGGTCAAAGGACAATAGGCAGACTTTCCGAAATCTGTAGTTTTGTTCTACTAAAAGTAGTTTGTGACCAATAATTTAGAGAAGCATCCCAAAATCGGGTTTCTCGATTGAAATCTTAACCTGAGAATGGGCACTATAATTTTTCAGTAAAGTCACAAAGCTTCTAAAAAATGGCCAAAGTTTCGCAAATTTCACTTGTTTGAAGCCCATAACTTTTTTGAAAAAAGTGGACGTAGCAAATTACAAAGGTAATTTTTCAATAACATGTTGTGTCGATTAAAGCCATGATAACACACTAAGCATGATAGTAATCGAGAAAAGTCCAAATAACGGTCAATAAATCAGATAGTTGACATTTCTGAGTCAAAGCTTTTTGTTTCCAAAAATTGCGCGTAGCCGCTTATGCAGCAAAGATTTTCCCAACTTGTTGTTTTGATTGAGCCCAAAAACCCAGGTTTAGCAAGGTAGTTTGGCTCGGGGAAAGTCAAAAAATTTTCAAAACGAAAATAAAACAACAATTTGACTGGTCCGAGGGCCATAAGACCTTGTTTCGAAAAAAAACTCGCTTAAGTTGTAATTTCGATTGAAAGTAAAAACCCAGGTTTGACAAAGTAGTTCTCAACAAAAACCTGGTTCAAAAAAACGTTCAAATTGACTTTTCCGATGAGTTAACAAATTGTCTTTTCCGTTGATGATGTCCCCCTGAAACTATCCTGTAGTAACACTACCCATCCACAAGTTATAGAAACTTAGCGATTGTGTTAAACCAATTGTTAACCAGAAAAAAGTCAGCAAGTGCTTTTGACAACGCTTGCTAACTGCAAGAGTAACTATTCAGAAAAAAACTATAGTTAAGAAAAACGTCATTGATAAAATCATCAAAAAAAGACCCATAACTGTAATTATCATTCAAAACTACAGCAGCTTGAATTTGCAGAAAGTGCTCATTTTCTCTGCCCCCAAACGTTCCATAAACATACCGGTAACGTCTAAAATAGGCAATCAACAAAGGGAGGGTAGCCGATGAATCTTCAGAGAAAAAATTTAGACAAACGAATGAGCTTTAGATTTATGATTGATAATTTTATAATCATCAAGCAGTAGCAGAGCTTCCGTTTTTGAAAACTTGATTACCCACAGACACCTCAATGAAATTAGGTCCATTCAAACTGAGCAATAAAAATTCGAATCCATAAAACTTCCATATAATCTTCATGACGAACTTATTGTTTCTTCGACGCTCAATCTACAATTAGAATTCAGAAACTGCGGATATCCTGATCGATACGCAATTCACTAACTGCATAACATTTTAGCTGTATGCACCAATTTTATGAACTGACCAATATGACCTGACTATAAGTCTATTGAAAATCAGACTTGGTAAAATGACAACTCACAAAATTTTAAGAAGAATTAAAATTCCATGCTTAACAAAAAAATAGATAAAAAACAGTACCAAGTTTAAAAACACTTTATATAAAAAAACGGAAAAAACCGACAGAACTATGCCGAAAGCCACGAATCCCAAAAAATTAATCATTTGCAAATTTATTTGAAAACAAGCTTACACCGGAAACGGACTACACCTATTTATAACCTAAATGAAGGTAGTTTTATTATTGCACAAAATCGAAACTAACAGTAAGTGAATTTAAGCAGTACGGTATCCTTTAACTATTAAGTTTTTTCTAATGCATCTCAGATCTAACAATAATTGAAAATTCATTTGTCTGCTTATTTTGCAGTTGGTCAATTATAGTTTTAAGGGCCTGCATTCATTTGCGTTATTCGAAATTTTTGCGATTTTCTGAGATTTTTGAAGAATCAATTATTCTGAATGGTTGCAATTAACTTTCCATGATTCGGAACGCCAACCTTTACATTGAGAACGCATCTCGTGAATAAATTGCTAACACCCCGCAAATTAAACTTCGGGTTTTGAGCATCCTTCAAAGACTTTTTATTTTCAAACTTGTTTGTACAAGTAATTTAGATGCAAAATTTCAGAACTTTCACTGACCTGAAAGAAAAATTTCTTCAAATTTCATCAAATTTTTAAAGCTACCTTGCTGGCTATTACAATTTCACAGAATCTATGGTCAAACAATCACTAAAACAGCGGCTGTCTAAATTCAAAAAAAGATATTAGATTTCTGCACACGTTTTAGCAATAAACTATCATTATCATTGATTCATCATTATCCACAAATTCATTCAAACAATTGAAAAATCTGATAGTTTATTCGCCAGTTTAACAGTTTGTTTGAACGTCACTTCTTTTAACTTCAGTACTTGGGGCTCACATCGGGCTTCAAATAGCAGACAAACTAAAGGAGACAGATAATGTAACATCAGAGTTCCATCATCTCACACCCTGCGTCTCTTGCGGGGTCTTCGCATGGTGTAGTAGTTGCCAATATAGGTGGAGTCAGTGAGCGAGGCGATGTTGAGTCCCCCCAGAAACAGACCCCTCACAACTGACTCACGTCCAGGGCCCACCTAAGGAAAAATTATTGGGTCTTGTTTACTTTTGCCTTCAGTTTAACAAAAAGCAAATAATGAACTCAAAAAAGATATTGCTCGAGCCTGATATCCATTTGGAACTATAAGGGTTCGTATGATTTCTGGTCACAGCCCCTTTCCTCAGCCTATTAACAGAATTAAGGGAACTCAATATAACCGAAGCTTTTTAAAATTGGGACGGCATTTTTATCGTTTCCTCTTAAGTAAAGGAAACCACATCCATTAACACCCCTTTCGATTAGCTTCTTCCTTTTTTATATATGACCAATGATCAAGTATCAGTGAACGAAAAAGGTCATGATAATTGTTCACTCTCCAGTTTGATTTTTGCGGTTTGACTTTTGATTTCTTTCCTTTCAAAGTTGAATTCAAATGCATTTGCTAAAAGAAATAATCAAATTGCGCACTCCAATATTTGCGTGAAAAATGTAAACGATGCTTTTGAATGATTTCTTCATAAATTTAAAGGCATCTTTATTTTTGAGGACTAACACTTTTTAAGTGTATTATGGTATTTTTCCCTGACTTTCCTTTCTTCCTTTTTTTCATCCAGTTTCAGTGTCGTAACTTGATCAAATTGATCACTCTGTGAACCAAGTTGTTTACGGCGAAAAGTCTAACACCTGATTGCAACACCCTTAACTATCGCCAGGGATCTCTCAACTATTTCTCCTCTTTTGCAAAGAGATTCGTTCCTATGTATAAAATTCTCATATGCTGAACCATTGATTTGTTTTTTTTATGGGGGGTGGATAATTTTTACTAGGTACCCGAGAGGAGGGATATAGCTAAAGAGATCCTCGCTTTAAGGTTAATAAAGAGCTAAAGGTTAATAAAGTGTCAAAAAACTGAATATAGCGCACCCCATTTAACACAACTCTAGCGCATTTCACTCCCATCTTGAGTAGTCTCCTTGCAACTACAGTTCCGATCTGCTGGTTGACAACAGGCGACTTCTTCTTCGCATTCTTGTAGCCCTCTAGTCGCGCTGAAGTGTAGTACAGCATCTAGAACAATCACACGTCAAATGAAACAGCGTGAAGGTTGATGAATGTCGGAAAAAATGTTCAACTGACAACTGATTTCAGAATTTATAGGCGAAACATTAACATAAAACTACAAAAAGCTTAGTCAACAGCTAGTTTGGAAAAAAATCAATAAGCCAGACTTCAATCAGAAAGAAAATCAGATTATTTCCAGAAAATCTGAGAGGTTATGTCAAAACTGATTATCTCTTAGGCTCTTTATGAGACGGGATAAACCAATGAGATAAAAAAACATTCGGCATTCAGGATAATTTTGATTGGATAAATTTTAGACAAAGCGACATTCAGGCCAAAACGCTCCAAAGTGTACCCAAAATAGATTAGCAAAACCTCGGCCACTGTACTTTAAAAACTCATAAATGCGGGAAATATTACAGACTAAGGCGAAGTGGAGCTTCATAACACCCGCGATACAAAACGTAAATATACCATTACCAGCTAGCGAATAAACAAATCAGACGGAAGCCACTCAGCAAATGAGGATCGGAAGTTACGTGAAAAGAGCTCGAGTAAAAAAATTTCGAGTAAAGTACTTAAAGACGGCAATTTAAATCAAGGATGATGAGAATTTTCATTTGGACCAACTGACTTTAATTTAATTTCAATGATATAATTTTTAAACTTAAAAATGTTAAAGTAAATAACACGAAACATAATAAGATTCAACTGAATAACAAAACTGAGAAAACTCAGAAGAGAGCGCTTTACGAAAAAAAAAACGCTGAAATGCTGAAAAATTCACACACAAAGGCAAAATAGAGCTTTGCAACATTTCGATACAACATAAGTATAGCACTGCAAGCAAACAGATTAGAAATCAGACGGAAACCACGAATGATGAAAAAAATGTCGAAAATAACGGAAAAAATGTCGAAACACTACATCTCGTCTACAAAAATTTCACGTTTTTTATTCATATTATGTACAATATGAGGAAAACATGTCGAGAAACACAACCAACTTTGATTAAGAATTCAAAAACATTACTGAGCTGCAATTAAGCCAGAAAAACTTGGGTAGACGCCCGTTGAGCCAAAAACAAAACTTATGTCAAAAAAATTGATTCAATTTTCGAAACTAGGTGAAACTCCTCCTGAAACACAGAAAATAAACTCTATTCTCGCCCCTTTACAAACGCAACATAATGAGACTACGCCAATATAAAATACGCTGAAACAATTTAAGCTAAAAACATGGCCAATTAAAGATTGAAAAAGAGTAATGAACGCAAGTAAACCTAAAAAACACTGACTTTCTTGAAAAAATCTCATTTTTCGAATTTCAAAGAGAAAAATAGAAGCCATTTAAGCTCATTGAATTTTTAGAACGATTTAGACTGGATCAACAGGTAAAATTTTTATTCCACTGGAAATCTAAAAATTAAATTCCACTTTCGAAACTAGATCGTGCACGTTTTTTCGCACCATTTACCTGTTCGTATTTGGAGAGTGCTATTTTTGTCACTTTCAGCAGATGAATTTCAATTGAACTCAAAAAGTGCATACATACCTAGGTGCATTCATAAATGCATCAATATATATGAATGCATATTTGTAGTCATTGGAGACTTTTCCTGAAAAAAAAAATCAGCAAGCCTATATGAGTCTTCACTACATTCATTACTCTTAATTATACTATATCAGATTTGCCAAATTTTCAAATCACAAAACGACAAGCGATTACAGAAAAATCCATGCTTTGAAGAGTAAGCCGAGAAAAAATTTCCAATCAAATTTTAAAAAACAAGTCCGGTGAGACTCAAACCCCGGACCTCAGGATCCCATGCACGCGTTTTTCCACTAGACTAAGTGGGAACGGGTCTGGCAGTTATTGAATTTCAATTATAATGGTAAATTTCTAAAATATTTGGAAAATTGTTTTGAATGGAAAAAAGAGTCGAGAGCCTGGGTACAAGAAAAAAAAATCGCGCTAGGAATAAAACCGAAAGAAAAATCAAATTATAATTGTTTTTTTTTTAATTTTCTTCTTTAACTTCGGAGTAAAGGGCGGTCAAAGAAGGTAATAACTGCAAGAATGAGAAATAATTATGGTATAAAATAGCAATATTGCCGTGCAATTAAACAGAGCTTTATCAAATTTAAGCAGTGTCATCAAATTGTCAAAAATAAAAAAAAAATGGTCTGGAAATCGGAAAAAATTCAGGCCAATTTTAATTTTTCTTGACACCGAGACATCTTTTCAAACTTCAAACAAGAGCAATTGGGCTTTAACATGATTCCAAAGTTGACCTTTCTTTGAGATAGTCAAAAGCGGTCTGAACACTAGCGGATCCATAAATGCTTCAAGGGCGTGGCTGGAACAATAAGATTGCTCGCTGCGATTGCTCAAAAATCTCAATGCTCGCTGCTGTGAACAGATCTAAGCGTTTTAACTTGAAAAACATCAAGAACACTGAGAAAAATTTTTCAAAGAAAGAAACCGATTGTATTAAGACCTAATTCTTAAAAAAAACATTGCCATTTCCAAAGACGCTACCGATTATATTTATTACATTATCCTACATCACCTTGTAATCTTTATCCTGTGTGGCGCAAATAAGGTTATTCCACTGTGCTCTGCAAATTAGGATCGGAAGTTCCGAGTAGTGGATTCCGTCATAGTAGAGTCTGTCGTAGTTGTTCTCGTACGGCGAGTCAGCAACTAAGTACAAGGGTGATGAGAATGAAGGGTGATGCATCAACCGATTTCAACTTGTACTTAAATTTTTAAAAATTAAGTTTTAATTCAAATTTCGATGAAAATGCAACAAGTAGACAACAATAACTTAATAACAAAATTTGAAACCATCAAAAACATCATCTACAAACTGTATTGAATGTAGACACTCGCGCCAAAATAACTTGATACTTCTCTTGAAATATTTTCCACGGCAAAAATCAAATCTTATTTGTTATATTTTGAATTTTTTTCCTACGAAGAACTCTCATCACCAATATCAGGATAGGATATGTCAGTCTTGTTTGATTTCCTGGTCAAGGTATGACTGTCAGTATCCTCGTCTGCCACATCTGATGAAATCAAAGTACCCGCAGCCGGAGCTCTCTTTATTTTGAGAAACTTGTTCGGCCCCACCTGAATAAAGTTGACATTTCTTCTTGATTCTTCTAGAATCTTCCAAGGCGTCAGAAGATTCTTATTTGGCTGCTGTTTTGACAAATTATCCCTTTGAGAGTGGAATTTGCACGAGAGGGGTGTTTGCATGGCTCTACATGAATTACTGACTGTATTAGCAGCAGTTCCCTCTCGTATCACAAATCCAGTCAATTTTTTCAGCATTTTCAGTACTTCCGAATTTTCATTTAACACCTGAATCATTCAATTGATTATTCAAATCATCCAGTTGATTTGATTTCTAAAATAAGATTATTCAATCGTACAAAGGATACATTACTCAGGGGCAGAGGAACACTTGGCATGCATTTACATTTCGGCGTATCTGCGCTGTCACAGGTAACAAAAACGGCAAAAAACAGCTTCAAGAATGAAAATGAACGCAGACCAAGCTGAGCTTTGCACTACCTGCGACACAACGCAAGCATACCATTCCAAGTTAATGAATAATAATTGAAACAAAAAACACTACATTGAAAAAGAAAAACGAGTTTCAGAAAAACAGTAGAGAAAAATAACCTCCAAGTATTAAATAATCTTTCATTTATTGAGCGGCTACGAAGCTTAACATACTTGGGTAGAAGCCTGTTGAGCCATAAACAAAACAAATGCCATCAGAAATTGCTCCCATATTTCCCTGGAGTTACTCAAAAAACGAAATACCAATTTTTGCCTTTCTAACAAAGCAACATAGAGTGACTAAGCCGTTGAAACATAACCCGAAAATATTTGATTAGAAAAAACATCAAAACCCAATGTGATAACTTTACAAATAACAAAATTGACTGTCAATTAAAGCACAATTTAGTTAAATCAAAGAAAATTCAATTCGATACATATCCGACAACTCAATTTTTCCCAGAAAAAAAAACTCAATTTCATACATACTGAATACAAAGAAATCCGACCGGATTTTCGAAGCCCTGGTCATAGGGCGCAATGTTTTTTAAGGTCAAATAATAAAGCAGGTTCAGTTTCTAAAAGTTGTATAAGAGAAATTGATAACGGGAAAAAATTCAAGTTCACGATTACAAGTCACTTGAACTTGAAATTATTCTAAGATCAGCGCGTAAAAAAGGCCTAGACTTTTCCCACCCGATCACTAAAAACTCGTAACCAGGAGTTTCATACATACTTGGATAGTAATCATCCGCCAGCAATGAAATCAGTTAATAATAACGATTAAACACCTGCTATTAACTTTTGTTCTGCTTGTTAGAAAAGTTTTTTTTTCTGCAAAATTAGGTGCCCCAAATAATCATGGGTCGAGGGGATGCACCATATTACAGCACATTCATACCTAATTCGAACGACCTTATAAAATTTGAAAATTTTCAGTGTTGAGAAAAATCGGCTTGAAATTATTGAATTTCAGTTACATTTTGAGCGAACACAAGGGAGCAGGCTTATAATGAGCGTAAAAGCATTGATCTTTTATGTGAGCTGTGAAAACTAAGTTGTACTTAAGTAAAAATACCTTTTAAAGTTAAGTTCAATTCGTTCTTCGAACAAAGATTTCAAAACATAACCAAGAGACAGTTGGAAAAGAGTCAATAAACTCAAGGAAACAACAAGAAACTGACTTGTTTTTTGAAAAAATCTTCGAATTACAAATAAAAAATCAAAAACTTTACCGCCTTAGTAGAGCTCTTTCAATTTCAAGAACAGTTTTAGATCAGTAAATTTTTATTCCGCCAACAAATCTGAAAATTAAAATCCACTTTCGAAATCAGAAATCGATCGCGTTCTTCGTGATCTTCATAGTGTTGCTGCTCGATAGTTAATCTCTGCCTTTAACAAAAGAAATGAAGTGAAATTAAAAAATTCAAACCAGGAAAAATCATTTTTAAGCGTGGACAAATTTTTTGACGTTTTACTATCGTATGTTCCTACGTCCTAGGTTTTCATTTCGATACTTTTATCACACTACGAACAAAAACCTTCTCAAATGGTTTTTCTATTCTTGTAGTCGGAACTTTTTTCACTAGTAAAAACTGTATTCAGTTGATACCAATCTATAACAAGAAAAGCCGGTTGATAGGCAAGTAGCACAGAATGTTCCGACCATATTCTTAAAAAAACTACCTAAAAACTTTTTTTAGGTTTTTTTTCTGTAAATTAGTGTTATTTTTGCGTGCTTATTTTTGCCACAGTAACAGTTAAGTAGGCAAATCATGCAACGCTTTTTGTCGAAAAATGACTTGAAACAAAACTAAAAAAAAAAACAATAATTTGGTTTTTAAATTTTTTTGCAGAAATTGTTTTGAATTTTTTTATTCCAAAAATTGCGCTCAAAATATCAAAAACATTTTTACTTAAGTTTCAAGGCTTATTTTTTTGTAACTAGCCTGCTTGTTTGTTTTAATCGCTAGAAAATAGATAAAAACTCGAAAACTTCAAACCGCTTTTTCTCGACACTGGTACAACTTTTCAGAAATGAAAGAGGTTTAATATAAAATATCACTCAGCTACTACTGCATATCTTTAACACCTTTTCATCTCCCAGATAGAACTCTTCTTGACTAGAGCCATGAACCAATTATAATACAATCAAGGCGACACTAGATTCTCGCAGAAACAACGAAAACCTGATAAAAAATAGCCAACAGAAAAAAAATTAATGAACGCAAGGAAACAAAAAACCGATTTTTTTTTCTACGAAACTTCAATTTTAGAATTTCAATTGAAAAAAAAAACCAATTGCCTTAAAAATTCTTAAACCGCTGAATCAAAACTGAACGTGACTAAATTTTAAATCTTGTTCCTGAAACATAAACAACTAAAAAAATCAGCAAAACCTATATAAAATCTTCACGACGTTCAACGACTTCGTGAATATTTCTCAATTAACATCTTAATTTTCGTTGATTTTTTTCTGACATGCACACAACGTGTTAATATCAGGAAATAACAGGAACTAAACAGAAGGGCTCAAATAACTTAAGAGTTTTGATGCCAGATTTTGATAGATACAAGATATTTGATAGATACCAGAATATTGGTATAGCAGATTTTGATAGAGCTTTCATGCCAGAATTTGATAGATACAAGAGATTTGATAGATACCAGAATATTGGTATAGCAGTAAAGCGCAATAGCCAAAATAAATGACTTTGCAAAGTTTTTGCAGTAAAAACATAATAATGTCAAGTTAGGGGATCCAACAAGTTTATATTTCGGTAACAATTTCGTATCGTCTTCCCAAAATTATCCAGATTCAAATTGAATGTGCATTATTATAAATGTAAAACAACTCAGCCGAAATTTTCTTTCCAAAAAAAAACAAAGGACCAGAAATATCACATTTTTTTGGCCATTTCAACTTTTGAATGTGGTTTTTTCAGAGTAGTAGTTTCAATAAGCAGCCCTGATTTGGAAACAGACAGTTGGAAAAGAGTTATGAACGCAAGAAAGCAAAAAAAAATCTGACCTGTTTTTTTTTAAAAACAGCCACTCGAAGATGGGAAAAGAGTAATGAACACAAGAAAACAAAAAAAACATTGACTTTGTTGAAAAAATCTCAACTTTCGAATTCCAAAGAAAAAAATAGATGCCCTTTCCGCTCTTTGAACTTCTAGAACGATTTATGATTGCCTTTTTTGATAACATTAACACAACTTGAGAAAACTGGATCAACAGGTAAAGTTTTTATTCCGCTGGAAATCGAAAAATTAAATTCCACTTTCGAAACTGGAAGCCGTTTTTTTGCGCCATTTCCACATTCGTATTTGGAGAGTGTTATTTACGTCATATTCAGCAGATGAATTTGAATTGAACTCAAAAGGTGCATAAAAACCTAAGTGCATTCATAAATGCATCAATATGTATGAATGCACATCTGTAGTTATTAGAGATTTTTATGCCCATTTTAAGACTTTTTCCTGAAAAAGAAAACCAAAAATCAGCAAGGCCTAGATAAGAGTCTTCACTACGTCCATTACTCTTAAAAATCTTAACTTTCGAAATTACAAGAAAAAAATAGATGCCCTAAAAGCTCTTTGCATTTCTAGAATAATTTATCATGGGCTATTTTTAAATAAACTTTGAAAAAAACTGGATAAGTAACTTTTTTTTCGCTGGGAAAACTGAAACTCCTTACTGGTACGTTTTTTCAACCTTTACTCATTTGCTGTTCGATATCGGAGTTTTCCTTCCTTTAAACAAAAAAACTAAAGTTAAATAAAATCAAAATTCAAACCGCAAAAAATTCAATTTGAGCCTTAACAATTGAGAACCTGAACTTTTTATGAACAAAAAAAATAACGACCTACTATATAAGATCTGAACTACGTTCATCGACTCTTAAAAATTAACCATCTCGTCCGTTTTGAAAGGCTTGCAAAAATTCGCGTGTGAAGTAAACTTTACATCTGAAGACAAACAGAAGAGAGCGCAGATACTTGGTTTCGATCAAAATTATGTGCTCGCTCGTATGTGAGAAATCGATCCACGAAAATACTCATGTGGATGTGCGGATTTAAAAAAACGAGCAAGCTCGAAATTTGTTACTGTAAAAAGTAGTGAACTATGAAAAAGTGAAATCGCATTGTAACACAAAGCAATGCTCACGCTGATCTATGTTAGAAATCATATCAAAAACAGTAAATTGTGATATTAAAACTTTGCAAAAATTGGCTCTAATACACTTTTTATTTTCTAACTAATTTATTGACTCATTTTTGTTTGAAACTACAAAATATGGATGGAATAGCTGAAACAAAAAACTGCACGTGATTTAATTTTTCAAGAACTCAAGGATATCATAAAACAGCAACAATAAATGATTCAAAAATTCTTTTACAAAATCATGCAAGAAGCTGGCTTCGGCTTATAGTGATCAATTGAAAAGGATAGACCATTTTTGCGAAGAAGTACAAAATTTAGCACAGTAACATGACCTAGCTTTAAGCATTTTCTTCTTCAAGATACATAGCGCGGCGAATCATATCATTATTTAACTTCGATATTTTTTGCAGTTCATCAAAGTTTTTCATTTCCCAATTATCTTCGTTTTAGTTTATAAATATGTCGCATCACAGCCATAGCTATACATTTTCTCGAAAATGTTCGCAATTTTTTATCCAGAAGGTAGAAATTTTGCATTGATTTGATCTTTTTTATTGCAGTTCATTTTCCCCGAAAACGATTTCCGTTTTTTTTTCGGACCATGTTGACTGGTCTATTCGTAATTGTCAGCTTGGTCTTTAGTGAGTCTCTTCCTCTCCTGTGCCTCGAAGAATCTGTTCAGCCTCAGCAGATAGAGAGCGAGTCCTAGAAGAGAGAAGGTGCTGAAAGCGATGGACACTGTCGCTTCAATCAGTCCCACTCCAGGGTCCATGTCTGAGCTCTTGCTCCAGTACACACTGAGTGTCAACAGAGTGAGCACCACTGAAACCACACAAAAATCAATTGGGGTTTGTATGCCTCTCACACATTCCCCCCCCTCCCCCACACACACCTCTTAAATTCAGTGGTACAAGACACCCCTCACACATTTCGCCCTTAATATTTCACACACAAGGTACAGAAAAGAATGTGAAGAGAAAAGCTCGAGAGACGTATTGTGTCACTACATTTACGAGGGGCGAAACTTACGACAATAAAAAAAATTGACCGAGGGCTTCTTGCTAACTATCTTCGCTACTGTGAAAAGGGGGAATTTCTTACAAACAAATCAATTAGTTCATACTGAACCGTTGAATTAGTCCTTTATGCGTGAGTGAATTAATTACTGGATACCTTAGAGGGGGTAGGTTAAATACGTAAGTGTTTTATAATAGTTATGTAACAATTATGCAACAGTTGCAAAGTCCTGCAATTTTCATTGATGTGACGTGACGTTTCAGCTGACTTATATACTCCACGCATTTTCGGTTGACGTATACTTCGGCTAGTTAATTTACTCTCAGAGTATTGATTGTCTTGTTGTGTACTTGCCCTGTGCGAGTATTGCAATGACAGATGACATGGCCACTCTCTTGCGCATCTGTCTGTGTCTATTGACCACACAGCCCACGAACAAGCACAGCATGAACAACAAGCCCAGAGTGGCCGCCAATGAGCCCAACACACCCATCAAGCGACACAGCGTCACCCAGTCTGCAACAGACAGGAAAGAACAAATTAACTATCTGCGAAAGCCTTGTTTAAAACAACTATCGAAATTGCGCAAAAAAAGAACAGAGGAAATACAGATTTTGAACCCAGAGGCGAAGCGAAGCTTCGTATCACATACGATACAACGGAAGCGTAAAAACGCAAGCTACCAATTAGAAAGTAAGATGACAATGACTAAGTAAGAAAAAACGTCTGTAAAAAAAACAATGTCAAGTTCAGAAAAACAGACGAGAAACACAACCACTAGATTTAAACATTTTAAAAATTATTTTCTCAGCGTTCACTAACCCAACAACAATTTTTTAGACGCCTATTAATCCGAAAACAAAAATTGCACAGGAAAAAATTGTTGTCATAAAAAACTTTGGAGCGATTAAATTGTTTGAATTTTTAACCTGTATGCTTCAACCGACCTGATTTATTCAAAATATTAATAATCAGCTTTGCCGTTAAATGAATATAAAACAGTTTAATTAAACAGACTAAACATAATCTGAAAACATTTAGGCCAATTAAAAGTCCTGAGCAAAAAAATTACAAAAAAAACAGGAAATATACCAACCAGATTTAGTAAATTTACAGGAGTTAATCAATGACACTAGCATATAATGAAAGTTAAATGCTTACAGCACAAAAAAATCTTCGCATGGAAACTAAGCCGACAAAACATAGGCCGACAAATCATAGACAGAAGATTCAATTTTTCCCTGAAAAAAAATCAATTCCAGGCACTGAAAAAGGGACAGGACTCGAACCCCAGACAATTGGGTCCGAAGGCAACCGCATTACCTCCAGACCAGGTGATAATGGGCCTGGAATTTGCCAAGGTTCAATAATAAAGCAACATCAATTTCTAACCAATTTGTTTAAAAAAAGCTGACAGGAAAGTCTCGATTACAAAAAACTTGCCCTCGCAAATGTAAAAAAAAACAATTGGATTATTTGAAATGTGTTTATTATGTATGCGTTAAATGCATTACATGAGCATTTCCAAAAACATAAAAATTATATAACCAAGCTAAAACTAGTACCAAATGAAAGCTATAGCTGGTCATTAAGCACAAAAGTAGAAAGAAAACCAGCTGTATAAAATTGACAACCCGAAATTTAAACATTCTCGTCAGCTAACTCCAAAAAACTCCTCCTCTGTCAACCCTCTAACAATATTTCTAAATATAATTTTGCAAAACATAGTGACTTGAGAAATTTTGGGCTTTGAATTTTTGATTATGAAGCAGTGAACTGTCGAAAAAAAGGTCCAAAAAAAGATGACAATATGACAAATTTTAAAGAAGAGAAAAGAACAAAAAACAAATCCAAAGATGAAGAAAATCATGTAACAGCTAAGGAATTGAACAATTATTTTGTTGTCGCAATTAGTCCCAAATTGACATCTGGATTTCAAACAAGATGAATTGTTCGAAAAAAACTCAAAACAACTCCTTTAACCTGTCAACAATTGACGAAGAGGAATCGTAGTAGACAAAAAAGCAATTGCCGGAGAAAAAAACCTAAGTACGACACGGGTCTGACAAAGTATCTAAGCAAAATAATTAATCCTAGAATAACTACAAAAGTGATCAATATTTTAACAGAAAACTTTTTCTATTATCAAATAAAGATATAATGACTTATTATAAACGCTAAAATAAGACGCAAGAACTGAATTATTAGATTTAACAATCGATATCTTTATCTCCAGTCAAAAATTTTCTTTAGACAAATAGAGCATAGGTCAGAAAAGCAGAACTAGATAAAAGCTATAGGAAATGAGACGAAAACTGTAGTTCGAACTTCTTTTCAATAGAAATGTCAAAAAACAGGACCCATCGAAATGTGCATACATTTGTCTCGATTTACTAGAGCACGGAAAAAACTCGTGGGTCTTATATCTATGGCTGTCGCCATAGATATACGACCCAGATTCAACTTTCAGACACATATTCACTACATGCGATACGACGCAAACATAGCATGGCGAACTATTCCACAGAAAATGAGAAAAAAACTGCTAATTCGACAAAAAGGGAAACAAATGTCGAAAAACAGGACCCATCAAAAAGTTTATACGTTTGTCTTGATTAAAACTCATTTTGAATAAGACTCATTTCGAAAAAGAAGCCAAGAGAATTTTATGTGAATTTAGCATGGAAACAGAACTTGCCAAACAGCAACTAAACCAACAAAAATTGAGAGACGCTCGCTCAAAATCCCATACTCAAAAGACAAACACATAAAAAGCTTTTTCGCTCATCAAACGACGCAATATATAACCACCTTGCTGATTTAAGGTAGCTAGACATCTTATAAACCTAATCAGAGAAAAAAAACTAACGTTATAACAAATCGTAGGTGGTTAAGTTAGAATCAATATAAAAAGTATACTCCGAATACAACGGGTGTTTAAAACAAAATCAAGCTCAAAACATTTCCGTTGTTTGACTAAAATAAAGATTTGGAGCTGACCACAAATTCTGCCAGTCATCCTATGAACACAGTTTTCTACGGAAAAAGTCAAAAGATCGGTAAAAAAGAGTTTATAAACGCAGAGCCGATGATGCACTTCGCGAAAACCAGCAAAAAACGACAAAAAGCATATTAAAAAAAGTTAATGAAAAAAAAAATTGATGTATATTTAAAACACACAGCCAATCGAAGATTAGAAAAGAGTAATGAACGCAAGTAAACAAAAAAATACTGACTTTATTGAAAAAATCTCAACTTTCGAATTTAAAAGAAAAAAATAGATGCCCTTTAAGCTCTTTGAATTTCTAGAACGATTTATGATTGTCGCTTTTTGATTTTGATAACAATGACCCAACTGGAGAAAACTGGATCAACAGGTAACTTTTTTGTTTGGCCAGGAAATCTGATAAATAAAATCCATTTCGGAAATTAGAAGTGAAGTGAATCACTATTTTCGTGACCATTACACATTCACTGTTCGAGTTTGCTTTCTTTTAAACAAAAGAAATGAGCTGAACCTACAAAAAATCAAATGGCAAACCGCGAAATCAAATTTGAGCGTGAAGAAGTTATCGGACATTTCCCAATTCAGCCTCCTGAATTAAAAGTAGCACTAATATTTGCGACTTTAAGTAGATCTAATAATTGCGAACTAGGTTGGAGAACTAAAAAAAAAACATTGAAGTAACATACTACGCTTCGCTTGGAAAAATAGGGCTCAAAACAACAATTCACTTGCGCGGATTGATCCAAGGAAGATATTCCCGCTTATTGGAAAATCAATGAATTAATTGCAAAGTTGAATCTCTTGAGAAAACACTGGTCTGACATTTTTGGATTTTCGGACCAGTTTGATGACAATGTACTGGATATGGCCTTAAATTTCAGCCAAAATTAGCTCTGTTTCTAAAGTTTACAATATTTTAGATTTAATCAGATCTCAATTCTGCAGTTTTTCTGAAACTTACTTCAATCGCGCTTTAATAAAAAACAAAATTTTCAAAAATTCATAAAAATAAACACGAAGTGACCTTTTTCACCACTGACAAACAAAGCCATTCGCGTATTCACTCACAAACAAAGCCTTGCTGTAAATCCAAAAGAAATTAAAAACAAGCTAGAAAGCCTCAAAGGGGAGCTTCAAAATGCGCAAAACACCAATACACAATGGCAAGTTATGATATAAAAAACACCAAAAAGGGTATTAACTTTTTGTACTGTTTGTAAGAAACAAAGTTTTTTTATTATTTCAGTTGATAAACTAAAAATACATCACTCTTTTATTTTATCAGTAATCAAATGGTAGAAGACAGGCCACTAAAACACAATTCAGCCTCCTGAATTAAAAGTAGCACTAATATTTTCGACTTAAAGTAGCACTAATATTTGCGACTTAGGCTGAAAAACTTGAAAAAAAGCCATTGAAGTATCACACTACGCTTCGCTTGGGTAAATAGAGATAGAAACAGCATCTCACTTCTGCGGATTGATCCAATAAACATATTCCTGCTTATTGGAAAATCTATGAATTACCTGGAGCGAATCAAAGACTTGAGCTGGCTTTTTATTTTTATTTTGTTCCGACAGCTTCGTAGTAAAAAGCAGCTATTGTTTAGCCTGTGTTTTTTTTTCTTTTGAATTCGACCAGCTCAAAAAAATCCCGTATATAGTAGTTTTATCATATTGCAGCCCTTTCACGCGTTATTCGGATTGAATCTCTAGAGAAAACACCGGTCTGGCATTTTTGCACTTTCGGACCAGCTTGATGTCAATGTACTGGATACGGCCTTAAATTTCAGCCAAATTTAGCCTGTTTCGAAATTATACAATATTTTAGATTAAATCAGACCTCAATTCTGCAGTTTTTCTGAAACTTATTTCAATCACGCTTTACAAAAAAAAGGAAATTAAACAAAGAAGATTTTTTCAAATTTTTTATACTTCACTGGAATGGTAAATACTAACTATACTGGTTCCAAGATTTCGTGTTGATGCTTTCAGAAGGCTTGAAAATTCAACCACGTTTGAAAAGGTAGATTGAGATAAAAATAGTTACAAGGGACTAACCATGCGGTGGCAGATCGAAACACAAGTTCGAACTGTCGTCTCCACTTTTACTTCCATCCGCCCCGCTGTAACTGTTCTCCCGATAGCACTTCTCCCACAGTCCCTGTTTCAAAACTATTCCCCCCGACAGCCAGTTGGAATTCATGAGTGCGAGACCGAGGGCCCCCACTGCTACTGTCTGCAGGGGAACTGAGAACAGGACTGGAATTAGAAGTGTCAACTCGTTCATCATCCAACCGATTTTCAACCCAGTCTAGCTAGTCAGATAAACGTCCGCCGTTATGGATGATTCGGGGTTTCGGCTGACCAGCGCCAGTAAAATGGTCAAGGTCAAATCTTCCGATTTCAATAGTTCTATTTTTTTTAGATCGGGCTTGTAATATATTTCTTGAACTATTTATTGGCCACTGATAAAACACATTTGAATATCTGTGCAAATGTTTCCAGTCTCGAATTTTTCAAAAAGATTTGTCGTTTTTACTTCCAAAATCAAATCTCGAACCTGAAAGCATCATCATACCATATATACAGTTCAAAGTTGTCATGAGTTTTCACGATCTGCTTTTAAAGTCGAATCGCAATTTAAACCCAAATCTTCTTCTCAAAGTTTTTTGTGATTTTCCTTCCTCTAGCCTGTCAGACTTAAGAAACGGTCCCTCAAAATGCCGCCACTAAAATCTAGTGAATATTCTAAAATTATGAAAAAATCGAAAAAATAAATCGACCATTTACATGACATTGAAAACTTCATTTAGGTCATGCTAATTTTCAGCCAACCATGTTAGTGATAAAAAAACTACAAGCCCCACTCCTGAGCAAAAATTTTTAATTTTAATTTCTGTTATTTTGTATTTTGCTAGGTGAAGCAGCATTTAATTGTGAACAGTCCATAAACAGAACATTAAAAACTAACATTGGATAAGATTGAATTGGTAGGATCTACAAAATGAACAAATCAACTATAAGTATCTGAACTTAATTAGCAACATCAGCCCAGCTGGTACGCACTTTCACGCGAACCGAAGTAAGAGAGCGCCCAAAACAAAAGTCTCATACTATGGGAGCAGAAATTGAATATTAGGTTGAAATTATACGTGCTTGCTAAATTTATTTCACGGTGATTTCTGATGCGCCGAGCCGAAGCAAAAGATCTGCTTTTAAAGGAATTAGGCAGTTTCAAGCAGATAAAACGAAAAGACAATACAAAATTTTTCAAATAAATATATTTTTTTAAATTACTGTAGACAAGCTTGAAACCTACATCGTTTTCTCCTATCTCGTAGTATTTCGGCTCGCTGCAAAAGATCCTCAGTGACTCTCAGTCTCGTGAGAGTAATCAAGCCTCGTAACAGTTAACTGCAAAGATACTAGAGCACAACTGAAGTCATCTCCCAACGAGTGAAGCACATTGATTTCCACGCGAAAATTTAAGCAATTTATTGAAACGATTGTAAAACACGCATTTCCAAAATAAGAATCTTGCAGACGGTACAATCTTCACCCGTCTTAAAAACTTTAAATTTGCCCACAGCATCAGCTGCTGTCTACAAACGAGGTTTGTTTTTGAAAAATGTGATCAAAACAATATTATCGATCGAATGAATTCAAGTGCAACAATCGAGCTTGAAAACGCTGTCTCGAACAATTTCGTTTTAAGCCTCTATGTGCTACAAAGTAAATCTCGGAGTTTATCTGATGACTCATGATGCAATGCAAAAAGAACCCTATTTAACCAGAGGTCAGCTAAAGCTGGAAATACCTGTTTGATAATTTTTGATATTTTTGTATTGATGCGGAGAACAAGGGTAATTTCAAAGACCTATAGCAAAGAGAAGTAAATCCCAATTTAATGTCTTCAAAAACTGTTAAATTCGTCAATTACTTCAGTTTTCTTTAAAAATGAAGAGATTACAAGAGCTTGTTAGCTTGAAATAAGCTTAAAACGTTGCTCATTAGATTTGGGTGGGTAGTTTTCGAGAAGTCAAAAAGTTTAAAAAAAAAAACAGTTAGAAAATTTGGTTTTTCTGAGGGTCATAAATTTTTCTGTGAAAACATTGGGCATAACCGCAGATATAGTGGAGCTTCCCAAAACTCGTTCTACCTACTGAAACCAAAATATCTTCGAGAAAAACCAAAAAGTTTGAAAAAACAAACAAAAATCAAAAACTTGAGTTTTCGGAGAGTCATAACTTTTTTTGTAAAAAAAATTAAGCGTAATCGTTCAGGTAGCGGGATTTCCCACAACCCATTCTTCTCACTGAAACCAAAACCTCAGATTTCTGAAGCTAATTTTCGAGAAAAATAGAAAAGTTTCAAAAATTGTCAAAAAATCGAAATTGACTTTTCGAAGGCCATAACTTTTTGTGTAAAAAAATGGGCGTAGCCTCTTATGCAGGGGAGCTTACCACAAATTGTTCTATCCGTTGAACCCAAAATCTCGGATTTGGACGGGTAGTTTTCGAGAACATATAAAAACCTAAAAATTTGGATCAATAATTCCTCACACACTTTTTCGAAGGCTGTAGAAAGTGGGTTAAGGTAAATAAAAGAGTAGGGGAGTATGCACGCACACAACACAAAGGAGTAGCCGGAATTCCCATTGGTACCACTCTTTTGAAAATCGGTAGAGTCGCTTTTGAGAAAAACTTAAATTTTCCAAAACGTCTAAAAAAAAAATTAAAAAACCCGATCCCAATAACATTTTCATAATACCTGTTTCATCAGTAATTAGACACAATAAGCCAATTATTGTGTTTTTGAAGAATCGGTGTTAAAAAAATTTGATAAATCAACTTGTTTGTTAAAAATTTTGTTTACCAATTCTTTTACTTCTCGTATAATATAGAGCCCCCTTTCAAAGATATTTCAAAAACTGTTACACAGATATTTTTTCTTTTCAGAGTAACTTTCCACACAACTACGAAAAGCATTACACAACCAAGCTCGGGTACTTCGGTAGTGGTTTGGAATCCGCATATATTGTCCCTGGAAGTGGCATAAATTGCTTTGGATTCTGCAACTTTTGGAAAACTGATGGAACGGAAAGACACTAGGTGCTGAAAGTGAAGTTTAGCAAGCGAGGAACCCAATGACACAGCGGATTTTGGGGAGAAAAGCTAAAACATACTTTGCTTTGGATTCCGCAGACAAACGCGTTTTTGCAGTTTAAGTAAGGAGAAGCAAAACATCGCTGGATTCCACTGTTTGTCAGTGAATTCGGCAATCAATTTTTTCTTTTTGTCGTTGGAATCCACAATTTGTCAGTGCTTTCTGCTAAAAAAATTTTTTTTTTGTCACAGGATTCCACAATCAAACTTTCAACTAACTGAACATGTATCGGCCCCATTTTTTCATCACCTGATGTTCGCAGATTATGTATAGTGAACTTATTTTCCAAATTCGAAAAACGCTGTTCCCTTATTTCAGTTAGCACGAAAAAATGATCAGCAACTGAGACAATAAACCCTCTCAACTTTTTTATACTCATATCCTTCCAGTTTAGTTACTGCCCCCACACACCCCACCTTTTTCTCAAGTGATAGGAAGTTTCTTCATTTTACCCCTCTCCCATCAGCATTTAAGACCATTGTCCTAAATGCTGGGGGGTAACATGAAAGAACTTGTCCAACTTAATTATTTAAATGAGCAGCTTAAAATATCCCGCCAAAAATCAATTATGCGGAAACCAATGACCAACTTTATGCTTTTTTCAGTACTTATTCGAAATATTTTTTCATTTTCTTTGGAGGGTCAATGTCATTCAATCGAAAGGAGAGAACTCACCTTCACACGTCAGGTGAATTTTAAATATCTTCCAGCAAAACTTTTTGCTCAAGTACAGGTTTCAAGGTTAAGAACTAAAAAAAAAATTACACAAAAGTTTAAACCAGTTAGTTTGAGACTCAAAGAAATATCTTAGATTTGGGTGGATAGTTTTCGAGAAGTCAAAAAGTTAAAAAAAAAACAGTTCGAAAATTTGGTTTTTCAGAGGGTCATAAATTTTTCCGTGAAAAATTTGGGCATAACCGCAGATATATGGGAGCTTCCCACAATCCGTTCTACCTACTGAAACCAAAATATCTTCGAGAAAAACCAAAAAGTTTGAAAAAACAGTCAAAAATCAAAAAAAATTTGAGCTTTCGGAGGGTCATTAATTTTTTGTTAAAAAATTTAACTGTAATTGTTTAGGTAGCGGGGCTTCTTAGAACCCATTCTACTCACTGAAACCAAAACCTCAGACTTCTGAATCTAATTTTCGAGAAAAATTGAAAAGTTTCAAAAATTTTCAAAAAAAAATCGAAATTGACTTTTCTGAATGCCAGAACTTAGGGCGTAGCCTCTTATGAAGGGGAGCTTCCCACAACTTGTTCTATCTGTTGAACCCAAAATCTCAGATTTGGACGCGTAGTTTTCGAGAACATACAAAAATCTAAGAATTTGGGTCAATAATTCCCCACACACTTTTTCGAAGGCTGTAGAAAGTGGGTTAAGGTAATTAAAAGAGTAGGGGAGTATGCAGGCACACAAAGGAGTAGCCGGAATCCCCATTGGTACCACTCTTTTGAAAACCGGTAGAGTCGTTTTTTGAGAAAAACTTAAATTTTGCAAAGCGTCTCAAAAAAAAAATTAAAACACCCGATCCCAATAACATTTTCATAATACCTGTTTTTATCACAGTAATTAGACACAATAAGCCGATTATTGTGTTTTTTAAGAATCGGTGTGAGAAAAATTTGATAAATTAACTCGTTTGTTTAAAAATTTGTTTACCAGTTCTTTTACTTCTCCAACCGGTCTCCAACGAGTCTAAAGGAACTACGGCTTTAGGTGCGGATTTTTCCGCGTATGTATCGGTACCTTAAACAAACTACATCGAGGGTCAAATGTATAATATAGAGCCCCCTTTCAAAGACATTTCAAAAAACTGTTACACAGATATTTTTCTTTTCAGGGTAACTTTCCACACAACTAGGAAAAGCATTACAAAACCAAGCTCGGGTACTTCGGTAGTGGTTTGGAATCCGCATATATTGTCCCTGAAAGTGGCATAAACTTCTTTTGGAATCTGCAACTTTCGGAAAATTGATGGAACGGAAAGACACTAGGTACTGAAATTGAAATTTAGCTAGCGAGGAACCCAATGACAAAGCGTATTTTGGGGAGAAAAGCTAAAACATACTTTGCTTTGGATTCCGCAGACAAACGCGTTTTTGCAGTTTGAGTAAGGCGAAGCAAAATATCGCTGGATTCCACTGCTTGTCAGTGAATTCGGCAATCAATTTTTCCTTTTTGTCGTTGCAATCCACAATTTGTCAGTGCTAAAAAAAATTCTTTTTGTCACAGGATTCCACAAGCAAACTTTCAAATGGCTGAACATGTATCGGCCCCATTTTTTCATCACCTGATGTTCGCAGATTATGTATAGTGAACTTATTTTCCAAATTCGAAAAACGCTGTTCCCTTATTTCAGTTAACATGAAAATGATCAGCAACTGAGACAATAAACCCTCTTAACTTTTTTTTACTCATATCCTTCCAGTTTAGTTACTGCCCCCACACACCCCACCTTTTTCTCAAGTGATAGGAAGTTTCTTCATTTGACCCCTCTCCCATCAGCATTTAAGACAATTGTCCTAAATGCTGGGGGGTAACATGAAAGAACTTGTCCAACTTAATTATTTAAATGAGCAGCTTAAAATATCCCGCCAAAAGACAATTATGCGGAAACCAATGACCAACTTTATGCTTTTTTTTCAGTACTTATTCGAAATATTTTTTCATTTTCTTTGGAGGGTCAATGTCATTCAATCGAAAGGAGAGAACTCACCTTCATACGTCAAGTGAATTTTAAATATCTTCCAGCAAAACTTTTTGCTCAAGTACAGGTTTCAAGGTTAAGAACTAGAAAAAAAATTACACAAAAGTTTAAACCAGTTAGTTTGAGACTCAAAGAAATATCTTAGATTTGGGTGGATAGTTTTCGAGAAGTCAAAAAGTTCAAAAAAAACAGTTAGAAAATTTTGTTTTTCTGAGGGTCATAAATTTTTCCGTGAAAAAATTGGGCATAACCGCAGATATATAAGAGCTTCCCACAATCCGTTCTACCTACTGAAACCAAAATATCTTCGAGAAAAACCAAAAAGTTTGAAAAAACAGTCAAAAATCAAAAATTTGAGCTTTCGGAGGGTCATAAATTTTTGTTAAAAAACTTAAGCGTAATTGTTTAGGTAGCGGGGCTTCTTACAACCCATTCTACTCACTGAAACCAAAACCTCAGATTTCTGAAGCTAATTTTCGAGAAAAATTGAAAAGTTTCAAAAATTTTCAAAAAAAAAAATCGAAATTGACTTTTCTGAATGCCATAAAGTTTTGTGTCAAAAATTTAGGCGTAGGCACTTATGAAGGGAAGCTTCCCACAACTTGTTCTATCTGTTGAACCCAAAATCTCAGATTTGGACGCGTAGTTTTCGAGAACATACAAAAATCTAAAAATTTGGGTCAATAATTCCCCACACTTTTTCGAAGGCTGTAGAAAGTGGGTTAAGGTAATTAAAAGAGTAGGGGAGTATGCAGGCACACAAAGGAGTAGCCGGAATCCCCATTGGTACCACTCTTTTGAAAACCGATAGAGTCGTTTTTTGAGAAAAACTTAAATTTTGCAAAGCGTCTCAAAAAAAAATTAAAAAACCCGATCCCAATAACATTTTCATAATACCTGTTTTTCTCACAGTAATTAGACACAATAAGCCGATAATTGTGTTTTTTAAGAATCGGTGTAAAAAAAATTTGATAAATTAACTCGTTTGTTTAAAAATTTGTTTACCAGCTCTTTTACTTCTCCAACCGGTCTCCAACGAGTCTAAAGGAACTACGGCTTTAGGTGCGGATTTTTCCGCGTATGTATCGGTACCTTTAACAAACTACATCGAGGGTCAAATGTATAATATAGAGCCCCCTTTCAAAGACATTTCAAAAAAACTGTTACACAAATATTTTTTCTTTTCAGAGTAACTTTCCACACAACTAGGAAAAGCATTACAAAACCAACCTCGGGTACTTCGGTAGTGGTTTGGAATCCGCATTTATTGTCCCTAAAAGTGGCATAAATTTCTTTTGGAATCTGCAACTTTCGGAAAATTGATGGAACGGAAAGACACTAGGTGCTGAAATTGAAATTTAGCTAGCGAAGAACCCAATGACAAAGCGGATTTTGGGGAGAAATGCTAAAACATACTTTGCTTCGGATTCCGCAGACAAACGCGTTTTTTCAGTTTGCGTAAGGAGAAGCAAAATCTCGCTGGATTCCACTGTTTGTCAGTGAATTCGGCAATCAATTTTTTCTTTTTGTCGTTGCAATCCACAATTTGTCAGTGCATTCTGCTAAAAAAAATTCTTTTTGTCACAGGATTCCACAAGCAAACTTTCAACTGGCTGAACATGTATCGGCCCCATTTTTTCATCACCTGATGTTCACAGATTATGTATAGTGAACTTATTTTCCAAATTCGGAAAACGCTGTTCCCTTATTTCAGTTAACATAAAACTATCAGTAACTGAGACAATAAACCCTCTCAAGGTTTTTTTACTCATATCCTTCCAGTTTAGTTACTTCCACCCCACAACCACTTTTTTCTCAAGTGATAGAAAGTTTCTTCATTTTACCCTCTCCCATCAGTATTTAAGACAATTGTCCTAAATGCTGGGGGGGGGGGGGTAAGCATGAAAGAACTTGTCCAACTTAATTATTTAAATGAGCAGCTTAAAATATCCCGCCAAAAGACAATTATGCGGAAACCAATGACCAACTTTATGCTTTTTTTCAGTACTTATTCGAAATATTTTTTTTTCATTTTCTTTGGAGGGTCAATGTCATTCAATCGAAAGGAGAGAACTCACCTTCACACGTCAGGTGAATTTTAAATATCTTCCAGCAAAACTTTTGCTCAAGTACAGGTTTCAAGGTTAAGAACTAGAAAAAAAATTACACAAAAGTTTAAACCAGTTAGTTTGAGACTCAAACAAATATCTATAGAGTGAGAAATATTTTTCTATCAGCTTCAAGTTGAAAAATTCGATAATATCTTCGTTAAGTGAGTTAACAGGGAAAGTTTTTTGATTTTTGGACCATAGAATGTGGTCCAAAAGAGGAACTTTATAAAATAAATCTTTAATGACAAATCTCTAGACGCAAGTACGCCTTGCAAACCCGTGGTGATCCCGATATATCAGAAGACGAGTAAAACGATCCAGAAATTAGACAAAAAAAGAAGTAGTAATCATAGTAGCAAAGGTATTGAAAAGTTCTGAAGCGTCTTTGGGGCGGAGTGATGCGCGGACGTTGTTCTCGTTCCGCAATAAAATTTCGTTTAAAAATAAACGAAATTTATTTAAGAAACATTGGAGTGGCCCAGCAACATATGGTTTGACAACAAAAATTTGTCATTTCGACAACTTAATCACAAAATGAAAAATAAATTGACTCATCTGATAAAACGAAGGCCAAAACTATTTCGGAAAAAAATGTTTCCAGGCAAAAAAAATGAAAAAAGAAAATATACAAAAGCAAACCAATAACACTTGCAACAACAATGCGAATTGCTTACACTAAAAAAAAATTCCGCGATGTGGCAACTAAGTCGGCACACGAAAGTCTGACAATCATTTCAAACAATGTATAGAAGGTCTGGCTAAGACTTGGACCGTAGATCTAAGTGAGCAAATGCAACCGCATTATTTCTAGCTCGAATGAGGAGCTTGGAAGTTAAAAATTTACAAAAAAATCAAGTTCTGTCTCTCCCAGATTTGTAATAAAGTTGTGTACAGGAAAAAGTATAGTTCCGGATTAGAAGACACTAGCTCTCGCAGGTATAGGAATTTGAAACCCAATTACCTGATACTTACAAATTTCAGGTGCAATATCTGTTTAGTTTCGAGCTCAGGGCATTCAAATATATGGCTTGTATTAATATTCTCAGTGGCTATAGTTATTTGCCGCTGGATTATATGCTTCTCTTGTGATAAAATTGAACACAAAACGTATCAAAAAATAGGCGACTCAGCCTAGAAAAATCTCGAAATAATCATACCAATTTTGAAACTTTCTACATTCAGCAAGGATTTCTCGGATTAAAATTCCGTGAACTTTTAAACATCAAAACCAATCACGGTCCATTTCTCTTGACAGTTCAACTATTGTTCAGTGAGAGCGAAACTTTTCCTCCGTCTGGTAAACGAATTCTAAAAGCGAACCATCGCAATTCAAGTCCACCGTAGCAAGAAGAACAAACAGCGCTAACAAACTTCGTTAAAAAATTCCGATAAAAAATCAAGATAAATTTGAATTCAGGTCGCTCTTTGACACCTCTGAATTAATATTAACCGTCTACAATAAATCTTGAAAACAGCTCATTTTCAAAAATTCAGGACAAATCGACAGTTATGAACCACATGTTTATTATTAAATCAGACAGCTATTTCAAGGGATAGGAATTTCTTTTTTAAAATAATATAGCTACGCCAAATTTATTTATCATGCAAATATTTCAATGAAAAGTTGGGACAGCAATAACTCAATGTTTTTCAAAATTTTAAAAGAAGAACGCATCTAAACAAGCGCGTCCAAAATTTCTAGCACGATTTTAATTCAGCTCGCTTGTCTGTCAATTCACTGGAATTCTTTACAGACGAGGACCACTTAAACTTGGAGATTGAAGCACCATGCAAATACTTGCACCCTTTGTTCTTGCGTCTACAACTGACCCCAAAAGCACAATCTTTCATTATCTTCGGGTGCATGAATGGACAGCTGAGAAGTTTACATTGAGTCGAGTACTTGCACACTGTTTCCGCAGGCGGCTTTGTCGGTTCTTTCTGCATCACATTTGGGACTACTCCACCGTTGTAAGATGAAGAAGGAAACTTCGGAACTCCTTGTCGCACTTTCCGACCACCTGCATGAGAGAACCCACATGCAAAATTGGTACAATTCTGACCGAATTTGCAGTGAGGATGAATGAAAAGACAAGATTCTCCGAAAGCACATTGTGGAAATTTACTACACGGTTTTGTAGGGTGTACATATCCGCACTTGTCGCCTAATTTGCATGCTGGCCAGAATCTGCACCGCTCCAAGTTCATTTCCTGCTCTTCTTTCTTATCATTTGCCATTTCGTTTGATACTCCTTCCGATGCTTGCTTTTTGTAGAGTGATACATTTTTCTTTGGCGAATCATCCACATCGTCATCTTCGTTAAAACTCTCGTCATTATAATCACTTCCCGACCCTTCATTTTCGTATTCCGATTCTGAGTTAGAATCTTGATCTAGCTCTGAGTCACTTGCCGATTTCTTTCCTAACTTCCTTACTTTTTCAATGAACTTTGTGGCACCTTTTAGGGACACTACAAATTTAGTAGCCTTGGTCTTTTCCGAATCGGAATTCGGAGACTCGCTGTGACGTTTCTTTGACCTTTTCGGAGTTTCTTCTTTTTTACGCTTCCCATGTCTATCTCCATCATTGCTTGATATTTCACTAGCACTATAATGTCTTTTCTTAGAAATCGATCCTCTTTTACGTGTTCTTTTTGCTGCCAGTCTTAAAATTTCAACCTCTGCATTTTCGTTTTGAACAGTTACTCTTGGCATTTTTAACATGTGAGCACGTTTTCTCCTAATATCTGGTTGCAATGGATCATACTCTTCAACCGATTTTTTCGCTTTGGCTGAAACTTCGACTGTCTTAACGTCATTCATAGCTTTGTTAAAAATTGTGTTCAGTGTTTTCAAGTCAGGTTCCAATTTGGAATCCATTTGAAGGCCCTTTCTTGAAACTATTTTCTCTCGACCAGCAGCAGCTTTGAGGCGCTGTCCTTGTCGTATTTCTAGGCGTTGTCGCAAGTCTTTAGAGTCAGCAGCATCATCTTTTGACGCGACAACCAGCGGTTTTACAATTCCGGTCTTCCTTCCTTCCGGTCCCCGGCGCGGCCCCAGTCTTTCCTTCACATGAGCTTTTGGGGGACTCATCAAAATGCTTGATTCTGTATCTACCACAGACATCATCGGCGAAACTTTTGCAACTATTTTCTGCTCTATTTTAGGAGCAGGGGATACCTTTCTGGTTATCACAGGCGATACAATAGTAGCAACATTAGCTTCATTTTTCTCAGTGTCCGAGTCAGATTTCCTGTTTAGGACTTCGTTTTCTTCTGAAGAAAGCGGAGACGCTTCCCGAAGAGTATCTATTGCCACATTTGATTTGGACTCAGTCACTTCCTCGCTGTATTCATTCCTAATTACGATAGTTCTTCCTGTTTTCTTATACTCTGGAATAGCGGATCGCTCGTTAACAGGCGATGCAGCTTTTTCCTTCTTTTTGGTGAGCAAGTTCTTGTCCTCAGAGCTTGATGATTTTCTAGGTTTTTTATTTTCTTCTCCCGAGGGAGAAACGCGTTTTTCTTTATCGATATGAATAGTTCTCTTTCTTTCACCTCGTTCTTCAATATTTGACTTCCGCCTCGAACCGATAACATCTACTACCCTACGGTTTGAAGCAGCAGTATTGGTTTTTCGTCCGCGCTCAATGCGTTTGGATGGCTTGGGACTTTTTGATTTGGATTTTTGTTTTCTGGGAGTTAAGCTACGTCGACGTTTACCTTTGGACGATGAACGGCTTCGACGTGGAGTTGTTTTCTTCTCTTGTTTTTTCTCTTCCGGGGCATCCTTTCCCACTTTGTCCAGCCTCTCCAAAACTTCTCCCAGCCATTTGCAGAAGCTCACAGACCCTTCCGACAAAAAAATCTTCAAATCTTCCGCCATTTGGTCGGTCGACTTTTTGTTGGCTATCATAACCATTATGTAATCAGGAAGCTCGTCATCTACATAACACTGCATTTCTTGCAGCTTCGCTTTGATTGCCTTCTTAATTTGAACACTAAGCTCTGTTCCAACTTCCATTTTCGACACCTGAAAACTTTGAGGACAGCGTTAGGTGGTGCGTACTGGGCAGAACAGTCCAAGCTCAAAACGCATTTAAGATCATATTGATTTACACGATCCGAGATTGAGAAAAGGCATAAACCATAAAGACCAAGAAGTTCAGATGGTAACCAAGGTCACTACAATAGTCCTATATCATTTCACCCAGTCAAAAAACCTTTGGAATTTCATTAACACAGGTTCATAGTATTCAGTGTTTTCAAGTTTTCTGTAACCTCGTAGATAGAATTTTAAGGCGATTGTAACCGAGGTCACTACACTAGTCCTTCATCATTTCACCCAGTCAAAAAACAATTGGAACTTCATTAACACAGAGGCGAAGCTGAGCATCTCAACATTTGCCATGCAAAAAACACATTGCACTACAAAATAATAAATGGAAAAAAAACAGAAGTTTAAAAAAATCTGAAAAATTTCCTTGACAAAAGCGGAAAAATTCTATCTACGAAAACTTCATATTTGTATCAGTTGAATTTTTTTTCCAGTTTTTCTTTTTTTTCTTTATTTTTCAAGGTAATCAGAAGGTCAAAGGTATCATAAAAACCGAGCTTCAGTCAGGAGTCCCTTCATCACGTATTACAGTCAAAATCCTTGGAATTTTCTAAATATAGAAGAAATAATGATAAAAGAAGATGACAAGTGTTGATGTCCTTACAATTAAAATCGATACGGGGTTACGTTTCTTCAATAAGAACACGCAACTCGACACGAGAAAATATAACATACAAGTGTAACAAATAAAAAATTTCGTCGATAGTTGTTTTGTCATTTATTGTTCCGAGTACGCAAGCGGCGTTCGCAATCTGTATTGACAGGGAGATTCTGTTTTTTAAAAAGCTGCCTGCTCTAGTTCCTCAATGCATATGCTTAGGTTCTTACAAAGCTTGCTCAAAAAAAAATTCTGTGCTGGGGCCGACCGCGCCCTGAATCTCAAAAGCTAGCGGTTGAAAAAGATACCCATCATCAACTAGATCTTTATACTTGTCATTTTTTCGCTCTTCCGATTCAGCAGCAGCCGTACCAGGGTTACAAACAGACACGGCATTAATCCTAAAAGGAGCTAAGGAGTACACTACCATTACATACCACAAAAGCTGGTTACCAACAGCCCATGGAACGAGCGTCAAACCGTCTGGTCACTTCTGATCGGTCCTGTAGAGGTGTCTTGGTTCTAAAACAGGTGGAATGTGAGTAGAAGATAAACTCTGCTTTATAAGGGCATTCAGTTTTGATTGCCTAGAGAATCTTTCTGCACTTTTGAGGCAAGAAAGACCATGCCAACCATCTTCGGTAACGTCTTTTCCGCACACGCATTAATGCCGTTCGCATATTTTTTGGACCTAATCGAAGTCCTATTGCAATTTTGAGTTGTTGGTTTGACAGTTTTAATCTTAAATCTTTGCACGGGATGACGTTCAACCGGTGGGAGCCAAAACTATCTCGTAACGGGATGAATCTTTTCACGTCCGTTGGTTCGAGTCGTAAAATCAAGTCTACAATTTCGCTGCCAAAAATTGGCTATCCACATTTTTTGAATTTCATTTTCCAGAGCCATTTCAATTTTTCCAAGTTCAAACCACCGTTTAAGCGCATCATCATAGGTTCCATCCACATGCTCCAAGCCAAAGATTTTGCTCAAGGCATTTTTTGCTCCTACTACTGAGGCTAAGAAAGCGGGTAAAGCGAGTAGACGAGCGGAAGAAACGCCAAAGCCACCTTTGGCTGCCGGGAGATCTGCTTGTCAAAAATGGTTGTCATTCATTTTCATATTAATGATCTTGCATAACGCATTTCTTAGTAACTTGCCGAAAACGTTTCAAAAAACCATTTTGCAAAAACAAGGTCTCGTGCGCAAAAAATATAGGAGTTTTGGCATGCTAAAGCAATTTTTCAGGAGGCAAAAGCCATAATGGGCGTCTAGTTTGTCTAGGAAATCCGAGATATTTCAAAACCCTTAATTTTGAGTCGGCAAAGTTCGCTGATTGGGGATCCTAAAATGAGGAGTTCTTCCTTTGTATTTATTTTAATTTTGGGGCATATTTTTCGAAATTGTGTTAAAATTGAATTATGCTGTGTACTCGTAGTCGGTCCCAAAAAACAAAGTTCACAATCAACCTTTAGAGAATTGAATTCCTTTACCGAGCGGCAACAAAGGCGACACTGAGTCAAAACCTGTTGAGTCGGAAACAAAACTGTTTTTAAAAAAGTTTTCATTACTTCTAAAAAGTGTTTACAACCCATACAAACTGAAACTTATAACCCCTAAAAGATATATTGTGCCCTCAAAATTACGCAAAAAATTTTGACTAAGTCGATGTACCATAAACTGGAACTGTTAGAATATTTTAAAAAAACGGAAAAAAAAGTTAAAAAAACTCAAAATCAGACTTACAAATTTGTGAAGTTTCAGTTATACTACAAATTTTTCAAACTAAAAAAAGCCCTCATGCTTTAAAAATTTATATATAAAAGCCCTACCAGATAAAAAAAAGAGTTTAAAACAATCAGAAATTGAGCCGACAGAAACTAGGAATGAAACCAGAAACGCGAAAAAATTTTATGATCTTTTTTGAAACAATGACAACCTAAGACGGGTTTTTGTAAACTTTTTTGTTCAATTTTTTGAACAAACAAATTAGTCACTTGGAACGATTTTTTAGTTTTCCAGGTTTGAGTTTGGCTCCATCCACAAAACAAGAACAAAAATTTGAAAAAAAATCAAAATCGAAAATGATATAGAGTCCGTGGTTTTGCGCTATAATTTTTCTTTCAGGTAAGCGATTAACATAGTGTCTGATCATGAACCCATTTCCGCGCGCCTGGAAGAAGATTTTGGTGTCCCAAATCAATGCAAGCAACCCATAAGAAACAAGGTCATAATATAATGTCTAAGATGTTTGTTAATTTTGTTTCCTTGGTTTTCCTCATTCAATCCTTGTTGTCTTTTAAAAAAAAAAAATTTTCGTCTCCGACGTAAAAAAAAATGGTTTTATTTAGGATGATGCAAAGTTGAGATGATGCTTATCTAAAAAGGTAAAATTTTTACACGCTATTTAACAAAAAAAATGAACTTACTTGAAAAAAGAAAGACATTTATAAACCATAGGATCAGTAAATTTGCACAGTGAAAAAACGAAACTTTACAGCACCACTCTGTGAGCAAGAAAAAATAAATAATTTTGATATTTTCTTTTTTTTATTAGTAGAAACTCAAATTAAAGGATAGCGAGAGAAAATGTTTGTCTTGGTTTTACCTCTCAAAAAAATCAACATGCTCGAATAAATATATACTGACTTTGATAAACAAATTTGACAAGCTAACATCTAGTTGGTTGATAAATATTTTTTGAAAAAGAACTACTTAATGAAAACAAATCCGAGAAATTTTACTCGTTGCGATAAGTTACCTAATTGTTGTGATAAACTTATTAAATATCTTCATGTGACATGATACGCTCATAATGGTCTGCTTGTAAGAAGAAGGCCCGGTACGGGATTTTAGAGACAAGCTCGTCAGGCAGCGATACTCCCCCTCTACCCGGATATCTCCGCCGGAACCTCCGCCCGTGAAAAACCAGGTTGTAATCGCTTTAATTTCTTTTTTGATATTTGTTTTTTAAATCCATTTCTCTACAAACCATTTTACAATCAATTCTATCTCTTGTTTTGCTCCTTTTGTACCCTTTTAGTGAACGTCCGTGCCGAAGTACATGCCGAAGTGGCTACCCAAGTGGAGCAGAAAACTGGTAATAGGAACCTCAAGGACCAAGTACTGCAGCCCCAAAGATATCGGATCCACGGTTCACTCGTACAGAGGTGCAAAGCTAGCGGACCTTGCCGATATTGTCTCGCGCTACCCCTCGCAGAAACTGAACTGTGCTAACATAGTAGCCGGATTCAATGATAACTCATCTACGGTTTCAGACTTCGCTAATGATTGGAGATTTTTAATAAATTTGATAACCCAATGTGGTAATTATCCTCAAAACCATCCTTTCTGCAAATAATCACTTCACAAACAGAAATTTAGGTGCTCCAAATAACTCTTTGTTTCGCCTTATTAATACATTTTACCGCTCAAGAATCCGAATTTTTCCCCCAATCTAAACGTTAATTTTAGTGCTAATATGTTTTGTAAAGTTGGTATTTATTTTTCATTTTATGGCAACAAAATCTTCAGTTTATTGCTCGCTCAGCTAACTTGTATTAATTCATCATTAAATTACCCACCTCGCTGCCAAATTATAGCCGATCAAACGCACTGCCATATTTGCAAACGCCACCTCCGAAAAGAAGGCATTTTGTGTGTCATTTGCTAAGCTTACATCCATGTCTCATGTAGCGAGCTACAGAGCAGCAAATTTTATTACGACGGGTTTTCCTGCATACAATGCAACCCGCCGAGAACTTTGCAAAAGAGCTCAACTCCACCAACAGACCATCAAGCACAGCCCCATCACAACTCAAAAAGAAATATCACCATCAACACCTGAAACAAACGTACTGCCCAACGCAACACAATCGTATCAATCGCCCCAGCAATCACTACAGTCCCCTGCAACCCCTGGAAATTTATCGACCAAAAACTTGAAATTAAAATAAACGACATATATAAAAATGTCGTTAACTGGAAACCGCGCTTCATAATTCAAAGCAAGAACAAGCCCGGTTTCCAATTTATAGAATTACTGAATCAGCAGCTGTTGTCATTAGTAGAAGAAACAACAAATGCTAACGTCGCAATGAAAGCAGCAATGATTCTCCCTAATCTGCTGCTCCCCAAAACAAAATCAAAAATAAACGGATTAAATTCTAAAACACTAAGCCGCCGAATAATTTTATGGAAGCAGGGCCTACTAGACGAACTTTTCACTGAAGCGAAAGCTCTCCAAATTAGACATACAAAACAGAAGAAGTCCAAAGTAAACGAGGAATTTAAGCAATTCGATAAACTAATGAGTACAAGCAAAACAATTGCTGCCATTGGCTGCCTTTCAGACAAGAAAACAAAAGGAGTACCTCCCATAAACGAAGTTATAGGAGGAAAAACAGTCCTTATTATCCTGAAAGAAAATCACCCTCAAGCAAAAAAAACAGCGATCACCAACTATATAACTGAAGTAAAGGAAGACACATGCCATACCATCCCTCTATATTCGAACAAATAAACGCCAAGACATTTTGAAAATCAAACCTGAAAACGCATGGAAGCCACGGTCCCTCAGGTCTAGATGCGTGCGAATGGATGAGGATATTCACTCATTTCAACCAAACATCCATTGAGTTTTGCAAAACAATTGCTAAACTATCCTATACAATAGGAACTTAAGTTCTCCCCCATGAAAACCTAACAAAAATCCAGGGATACAGCCCATTGCTATAGGCGAAGTTCTAAGAAGAAAAATTGGCAAAAATATCAACCAATATATAAAATCAGACCTTAAAAATCTCGGAAAAAAATTCCAATTCTGCTTAGGCCAGAAGTAAGGAATCGAATATGCTATCCACAGCTTGAGGAAAGCGTTTGAAAAACAAGAAACGGAAGCCATACTACTTATTGATGCAGAAAATGCCTTCAACCCGCTCAATAGAAAATTTGCTCTAAACATGTAGAATTTTTTTGTCCGGCGCTACATCATGCGCTGGCCTCATCAAATAAACATCCCTCAAATCTCTGTGTCAATAACACGGTTTTGACATCTACCGAAGGCACAACGCAAGGTGATCCCCTCGCAATGGCTATGTACGGAATTGGGATAATCCCACTGATTGAGCTCCTGCAAAAACCAAAGGTCACCCAAAAATGATACGCAGATGATGGAAGCGCTGAAGGTGATCTTAAGAGTCTCCGCGCAAAACTGGACAACCTGGATGTGCACGGAAAGGCTTTCGGATACAACGTGAAGCCTTCCAAATGTCAACTCATAGTAAAAGAAAAACGGCGTGACAGCGTCATAAACGTATTCGAAGGCACAAATATTACAATGGTAGACGGTTATAGGCTCCTTGGATTGGTTATAGGAACACCATCAGCATGCGATTAATACATGGAAAGCGAAATTGAAAAGACAGCTATCCTAACTGAAAAGCTTTCCAAAATAGGTAAAACATCACCACAAAATGCCTACTCCTGCTACACTAAGGGAGGTTGAAGAAAATTAAGCTTTAAGCCATAACGACTCCAGAAACATTTAAGAAAATGGATGAAATTGAGAAAAATGTAAGACATCAGCTATTTCCTAGTATTACTGGTGAAAACAAAACCATATAACCGATGAAGATTGCAACCTTTTTGCACTACCACTAAAAATGGGAGGATTAGACCTCCTCAGTAACACGGACTTTTCCAGAAATTATGGGTGATCACAAGCCATTTGTGACACGTTAGAAAACAGTTATCCAGAAATAGCTGAAACGGAACAAACTCTGATAAATAGAAACATCAAAACTAAGAGACAGAACATCACACTCTCAAAAAAAGCAAATATTATGGAAAATTGCTCATCAGAAAAAAAAACAGACAATAAATCTAGCGTCACAGAAAGGAGCATCGAATTGGCTAAGCGTGCTACCCTTAAAAATAATTTTTCCCTTAACAAATCAGAGTATAAAGATGGATTACATCTGAGATATGGATGGGAACCACCAAACACCCCACATACATGCCCATGTCGACAACCGTTCACACTGACTCACTCTCTACACTGTCCCAAAGGTGGATACACTCACCTAAGACATACTGAAGTTCGAGATACCTTTGTGACACTCCTGGACGAAGTATGCCATGATGTTGAAATAGAGCCGAAACTTCAATCGTTGGAAGACGAAAGCTTTCACAACAAAATAACCACTACTGAAGATGACGCACGACTTGAGATCAAGGCAGATGGACTCTGGGGAGGCCGATTCAGCCGAACCTTTTTCGATGTAAAAATTTTCAACCCCCATGCTAAATCCCGCCCCAAAACTATATCTGACGTCTACAAAATCATGAGAGTGTCAAAACAATAAATGACCAACAAAGAGTTCTGGATGTGGATCACAGCAGTTTTGTTCCACTTATTTTTGCGTGGACCAGAGAAGCAGCACCAGGCTCTACAAAAACCATCCAGAAACTAGCAGAGAAATTAAGCGAGAAACGGAAGGAATCTTACTCCGACTCAATAAACTTTATAAGAAAAAAAGTAATTTTTGTACTTCTGAGGAGTGCAATCCTCTGCTTTAGGGGGTGCATAAATCTTAAAAATACATCAAATATAGACAATTCTATCTGTGCTATAAACGAGGAGGGTAGATTTTAATTGAAATTTCTCTTGATGCATTAGTATCGACTTGATTTATTCATAAAACTTTGCCGATGTATTTATATAGTGTTGGTACGGCCCTATCCAACTTGTGCGCGTACCGTCGCATGACGGATGGGCCCATTTTAATTCATTTTTTTTTCAAGATTACTTAATCTGAGATCAAAAATAGAACAATTGAAAAGTAATGTTTCCATCTGCAAACTTATTTTATCAAGTTCAGTACCTAAGCTCTAACACTAAAAAACTAGACTTTTCTGGTAAAGTTTTATCTGACAGACGCTGTATGAAGCTATATGACTATAGCCAGGATTTGACTGATAGTCTGTGCTCGTTTGTTCATATATCTCTTTGTTGGTTTTGTTTCGAAAAGCTTTGAGTTTAAATTTATTAACTGGAAACCCAACTGTGATATGAAAAACAAAACAATGACCTATTCCAATTTCAAAGAAATTTCCTTTAATTTGTTTCTAGTTATTTTCACCTCAAAACATTGCGAAGATAAGCGTCAAATAAGGTCGATTTTTTCATCAGATCAATTTTTTTTCAATTGGGTTTTTTTTTCGAAATTGAAAACTTCCGAAAATGTTTTGAGTGGCGAGAAGTACTCTTTAACGTTAAGTTTTGCGTCTTTAAATGTTAGCAAGTAAAGCCAACAACTAAAGCATGCAGGTAGAGATTAACGTATTTTATGAGCTATAAAGACAAAATTGGATATTTTGAAATAACTTTTAATGTTCGTTCAAAGTTTAGAAGAAAAAGTTTATTTAGTTAAAGCCATTTTTTTTGGTTCCAAATTAATTTTTGGCTTCTTCTTCCTTAGAGGCACAAAAAAAACACTTAGAGGCAAAAATTAGACCGTCGTTTTCGGTATGATTTTACTCTCCGAAATCTTGAAAGTTTCAATCAAAAATGTCTGAAATGGGTCATTGGTTCAATACCCTAAAAAGACCAGTTATTTCTCATGAAAACTCTGCCTATCTGTTACCATCTTATTTTCAACGATGTGTTACTGTTCTACAAAATGTTACATGCTCTTACAGAATTGCCGTTTTCTGCTTATTTTTTTAAAATTGACCACCAGCCGGAAATCCAGCATCCGCTGCACAATTCAAACAGCAAAGAAGTGGC